TATGACTTTTTATGCCTTATTATACTATGACTTTTTATGCCTTATTATACTATGACTTTTTATGCCTTATTATACTATGACTTTTTATGCCTTATTATACTATGACTTTTTATGCCTTATTATACTATGACTTTTTATGCCTTATTATACTATGACTTTTTATGCCTTATTATACTATGACTTTTTATGCCTTATTATACTATGACTTTTTATGCCTTATTATACTATGACTTTTTATGCCTTATTATACTATGACTTTTTATGCCTTATTATACTATGACTTTTTATGCCTTATTATACTATGACTTTTTATGCCTTATTATACTATGACTTTTTATGCCTTATTATACTATGACTTTTTATGCCTTATTATACTATGACTTTTTATGCCTTATTATACTATGACTTTTTATGCCTTATTATACTATGACTTTTTATGCCTTATTATACTATGACTTTTTATGCCTTATTATACTATGACTTTTTATGCCTTATTATACTATGACTTTTTATGCCTTATTATACTATGACTTTTTATGCCTTATTATACTATGACTTTTTATGCCTTATTATACTATGACTTTTTATGCCTTATTATACTATGACTTTTTATGCCTTATTATACTATGACTTTTTATGCCTTATTATACTATGACTTTTTATGCCTTATTATACTATGACTTTTTATGCCTTATTATACTATGACTTTTTATGCCTTATTATACTATGACTTTTTATGCCTTATTATACTATGACTTTTTATGCCTTATTATACTATGACTTTTTATGCCTTATTATACTATGACTTTTTATGCCTTATTATACTATGACTTTTTATGCCTTATTATACTATGACTTTTTATGCCTTATTATACTATGACTTTTTATGCCTTATTATACTATGACTTTTTATGCCTTATTATACTATGACTTTTTATGCCTTATTATACTATGACTTTTTATGCCTTATTATACTATGACTTTTTATGCCTTATTATACTATGACTTTTTATGCCTTATTATACTATGACTTTTTATGCCTTATTATACTATGACTTTTTATGCCTTATTATACTATGACTTTTTATGCCTTATTATACTATGACTTTTTATGCCTTATTATACTATGACTTTTTATGCCTTATTATACTATGACTTTTTATGCCTTATTATACTATGACTTTTTATGCCTTATTATACTATGACTTTTTATGCCTTACTATACTATGACTCTTTATGCCTTACTATACTATAACTTTTTATGACTTATTATACTATGACTTTTTATGCCTCACTATAATATGACTTTTTATGCCTTAATATACTACGACTTTTTATGCATTACTATACTATGACTTTTTTATGACTTTCTATGCCATACTATACTATGAGTTTTTATGCCTTACTATACTATGACTTTTTTATGACTTTTTATGCGTTACTATACTATGACTTTTTTATGGCTTTTTATGCCTTACTATTGTTATGCCCCGGTCTAGGGGGGCCTAGGACACAACATGAACCGGCCCCATCTTCCCCAAGTCCCAAGTAGCCACAACAAAGATTAGGTGGAATATAAGGAAAATGATTTATTTACATAAATTTCTTATGAACATATATAACATCAAGATTGAGTTTAGGCTTCAGGGTGGACTAAGGCCAACATAATAAACATAATCTCCCTGTCTGGAAAACAAACAATTAACCTAACCTGAGGAAAACAAATAACAACCAACTTACCTCCCTAACTAAATAAACAGGAGAAAACCAGAGAAACAAAACTGGCAGCCCACCCTTACTACTCAAGTAAAACCATGAACTACACCAAAACGGAATTGCTGCAACGAGGTGGACAGTTGGGAGAAGAGGAGAATGAGGTCTCAGCCGGCGGCCATCTTGGCTCTTTATATACCACTGGATCGGGGATGCAACCAATTACCAATCAGGACGCAGAGCCCTCCCACCAATGACGGCACGGCTGCGGCACACACCTATTTGCATACAAATAAAAAAAACAGAACACAGGGCACACACACATATACAACAGAGCACCCACAACAATAGGACCGCGGTCATAACACTATACTATGACTTTTTATGTCTTACTGAACTGTGACTTTTTTGACTTTTTATGCCTTACTATACTATGACTTTTTATGCCTTACTATACTATGACTTTTTATGCCTTACTATACTATGACTTTTTATGACTTTTCATGCCTTACTATACTATGACTTTATGACTTTTTATGCCTTACTATACTATATTGTTTTTATGACTTTTTATGCCTTACTATACTATGACTTTTTATGCCTTACTATATTATGACTTTTTATGCCTTACTATACTATGACTTTTTATGCATTACTATACTATGACTTTTTATGACTTTTCATGCCTTACTATACTATGACTTTATGACTTTTTATGCCTTACTATACTATGTTGTTTTTATGACTTTTTATGCCTTACTATACTATGAGTTTTTATGCCTTACTATACTATGTCGTTTTTATGACTTTTTATGCCTAACTACACTTTGACTTTTTATGCCTTACTATACTATGACTTTTTATGACTTATTATACTATGACTTTTTATGCCTTACTATACTATGTCATTTTTATGACTTTTTATGCCTTACTATACTTTGACTTTTTATGCCTTAATATAATAAGACTTTTTATGACTTACTATTCTATGTTGTTTTTGACTTTTTATACCTTACTATACTATGACTTTCTATGCCTTACTATACTATCACTTTTTTATGACTTTTTATGCCTAACTATACTATGAGTTTTTCTGCCTTACTATATTATGACCTTTTATGTCTTACTATACTATGTCGTTTTTGACTTTTCATGCCTTACTATACTATGACTTTTTATGCCTTATTATACTATGACTTTCTATGCGTTACTATACTATGTCATTTTTATGATTTTTTATTGCTTACTATACTATGTTGTTTTTATGACTTTTTATGCCTTACTATACTATGACTTTTTATGACTTACTATACTATGTAGTATTTATGCCTTACTATATTATGTCGTTTTTATGACTTTTTTCCTTACTATACTATCACTTTTTTATGACTTTTTATACCTTACTATAGTATCACTTTTAATGTCTTACTACACTTTGACTTTTTATACCTTACTATATTGTGACTTTTTATACGTTACTATACCATGACTTTTATTATCTTAAAATAATCTGACTTTTTATACCTTACTATACTGACTTTTAATTCCTTACTATACTATGATTTTTTATACCTTACTACACTGACTTCTCATGCTTCATTGTATGTTTGAATATATGAATGTACATATGTATGTGTGAATGTAATAATAATAATAAACTTTATTGGCACAGCAACTTACAAGAAATTCAGCACAAAGTTCCTTACAACAAAGAAATTATATGCACCAAATTATTCACATGAAAACGCATAGTGAAAATAAGAACACATTAACAGCATTGAATTAAAAGGAGCTACAATAATAAATAACATAAATCATCCACAAGACACTTAAAAGAAGTGCTGAGCAGTGAATAAAGGTGGCGCAAAATGCAAAATGTCAGAGCTCATCAAAGGCTAAGGTGAAGAAACAAGTTCTGAGCTTTCTTTTAAAAATACTTATTAAGCTGCTGCTCTGATATCTGTACTTGGTGTGTTCCATAGCTTTGGGCCGTAACTGACAAAGTGCATACAGTGGTAACACAGGCTAACAAAGTGCTAACACAGTGCTAACACCTGAAGATATGTGTACTTAAACATTTAAACAGAAGCATAAACTGAATAAAGTTGAACAAGAATTAATTTATTATTGTTTATGATTTTAATTATTTCTGTCAAACAGAGAAAAACATCTGAGAGTTCAAGCAGGTTTCCAACCTGCACTGAGGGAATCAGGCTGTGCAATAAACAGTGAGTCAGGTAGAAGTCAGACATCACAGCTGCTCCTCTAATGAAGAGCTGCTGCTCAGAATCAAAGATGGAGGAACACGACCTCCAGGTCAAACAAATAATTTGTGTTCGTCCAGCAGCAGCATCGTTATCTTCGTTAGTCTGAACAAACAGCGAGTCTTTTAACTCTGCACATTCTGACACTTTAATCAGCTCACAGCCGCCGGCTGCAGGGTGGCTCACAGACACAGAGTGTGTTTTACTAAATTAGTGTGTGTGTGTGTGTGTGTGTGTGTGTGTGTGTGTGTGTGTGTGTGTGTGTGTGTGTGTGTCAGCAGGCATATTGCATCTCTCTCATCTCCCTCCCTGTAGTTAACCAGCGCTGCCTCTGTTATTCTGCTCCTTTGCTCAGGATGACTAAAACACCCTGCGGACACAACCCCTCTTTATAAAACACATCTATCCCTCGCTTCCAGCCTGCAAGCGGGGGGTGGGAGGGGTGTGTGTGTGTGTGTGTGTGTGTGTGGTTGGAGGGGGGGGTGAAGGAGGCGAAGCTTTGATACAGCATGAAGCCTTGGGCCAACAGCAGCTCCTCGTCAGGAGCTGTGTGGAGTAAAAGACCAGGAACTGAACTGAGATCAGCTGCGGCAGGAACAACAGTCACAGAGTCCTGCAGCTACTGATGCAGGGTCAGTTCAGTCTGAGTCTCCAGGTCACTTCCTGTTCATCCAGAGTCAGAGAAATATAAAATATGAACCATGTGTGTCATAAGAGCTGTGAAGTCTTGAGTACTGGATAAGAAGTGTTTTGTGAGGTCATCGTGACCTTGACCTTTGACCTTTGACCACCAAAGTCTAATCAGTTCGTCCTTGAGTCCTGGTGAATGTTTGTGCCAAATCTGAAGAAGTTGCTTCAAGGCGTCACCCAGGCATCGTGTCCATGAGAATGAGACTGACGGACAACCTGAAAACAAAATGGCTGCCGCTCTGACTGACGCCGGCGTGCAGGAATAAAAATGATTAGGTGTGTCTGGCTTGTAGCTCTACCTCTGACCCTCTCTGTGTCCCCTCCCTCCTCCAGGACTTCCCCCAGCTGTACGAGGAGGCCCGGTACTACCAGCTGACCCCGATGGTCCGGGAGCTAGAGCGCTGGCAGGCAGAGCGGGAGGCCCAGCGGGCGTCGCCCTGCGAGTGCCTGGTGGTGCGAGTGACGCCCGACCTGGGCGAGAGGATCGCCCTGAGCGGCGAGAAGGTCCTGATCGAGGAGATCTTCCCCGAGACCGGAGACGTCATGTGTAACTCTGTGAACGCCGGCTGGAACCAGGACCCCACCCACGTCATCCGCTTCCCGCTCAACGGATACTGCAGACTCAACTCCGTCCAGGTCGGTCCAGTTAAAGGGCCAGTCCCCACACACACTACATACACACACACACACACACTAGACACACACACACACTGCACACACACACACTGCACACACACACACACACACAACACACTGCACACACGCACACACTGCACACACACACACGCACACACACTGCACACACACACTACACACACTGCACACACACACTACACACACTGCACACACACACTACACACACTGCACACACACACTACACACACTGCACACACACACTACACACACTGCACACACACACTACACACACTGCACACACACACTACACACACTGCACACACACACTACACACACTGCACACACACACTACACACACTGCACACACACACTACACACACTGCACACACACACTACACACACTGCACACACACACTACACACACTGCACACACACACTACACACACTGCACACACACACTACACACACTGCACACACACACTACACACACTGCACACACACACTACACACACTGCACACACACAACACACTGCACACACGCACACACACACACACACACTAGACACACACAACACACACACTACACACACTGCACACACACACTACACACACACACACACACACACTAGACACACACACACGCACACACACTGCACACACACAACACACACACTACACACACTGCACACACACACTACACACACTGCACACACACACTACACACACTGCACACACACACTACACACACACACACACACACACTAGACACACACACACTAGACACACACACTAGACACACACACACACACTAGACACACACACACTAGACACACACACTAGACACACACACACACTAGACACACAAACACACACACTAGACACACACTACACACACACACTACACACACACTAGACACACACAAACTACACACACACACACACACACACACGGACACCACACACACACTAGACACAAACACACTAGACTCACACACTAGACACACACACTAGACACACACACACACTAGACACACAAACACACACACTAGACACACACTACACACACACACTACACACACATACTACACACACACACACAAACTAGACACACACTAGACACACACAAACACACACACACTAGACACACAAACACACACTAGACACTACACACACACACACACACACTAGACACACACTACCCACACACACAACACACACACTACACACACACACTACACAACCACTACACACACTACACACACACAACACACACACTACACACTAAAAACACACACAAACACACACTAGACACACACAAACACACACCCACACCCACACACTAAACACACACACAACACACACACTAAACACACACCCACACACTAAAGACACACACACCCCCACACACACACTAAACACACACACACTTAAGACACAGACACACACTAAACACACACACACAACCAAACACACACACACAAACAAACACACTACACACACACACAAACAAACACAAACACACACAAACAAACACACACACACACACACACACAAACACACACACAAAAAACACTACACACACACACTACATACACACACACAAATACACACACACTACACACACAGTACACACACAGTACACACACACACAAAACACACACCACACAAAACACACTACACACTAAACACACACACAACACAACACACACACTATACACACACTACACACTAAACACACACACAACACACACACACTAAACACACACACAACACACACCCACACACACACTAAACACACACCCACACACTAAACACACACACACACACACACACAATACACACACACTACACACTAAACACACACACAACACACACACACTAAACACACACACAACACACCCCCACACACACACTAAACACACACCCACACACTACACACACACACACACACACACACAATAAACACCCACTACACACTAAACACACACACAACACACACACACTAAACACACACACAACACACCCCCACACACACACTAAACACACACCCACACACTACACACACACACACACACACACACAATAAACACCCACTACACACTAAACACACACACAACACACACACACTAAACACACACACAACACACCCCCACACACACACTAAACACACACCCACACACTACACACACACACACACACACACACAATAAACACCCACTACACACTAAACACACACACAACACACACACACTAAACACACACACAACACACCCCCACACACACACTAAACACACACCCACACACTACACACACACACACACACACACACAATAAACACCCACTACACACTAAACACACACACAACACACACACACTAAACACACACACAACACACCCCCACACACACACTAAACACACACCCACACACACCCACTAAACACACACACTAAATACACACACACACACACTCACACAAACACACCCCCCACACACACACTAAACACACACACCCCCCCACACACTAAACACACACACACACACACACCCACATACTCACTAAACACACACACACACACAACACACACACACAACACACCCACACACTAAACACACACACATACACACCCACACACTAAACACACATACAACACACACACTAAACAAACACACAACACATCCACACACTAAACACACACACAACACACCCACACACTAAACACACACAAACTAAACACACACACACACTAAACACACCCACACACACACACAACACACACACACACAACACACACCCACACACTAAACATACACACAACACACCCACACACTAAACACACACACAACACACACACACACCCACACACTAAACACACATACAACACACACACTAAACACACACACAACACACCCACACACTAAACACACACACACACTAAACACACACACACCCACACACACTAAACACACACACTAAACTCACCCCCACACACACACACTAAACACACACACCCCCACGCACACTAAACACACACACAGACCCACACACACACAAAATACACACACACAACACACACACTAAACACACACACTAAACACACCCCTCCCCCCACACACACTAAACACACCCCCACAC